CCCCATTGAGCTATTTGCTATTCCTGGACCACTAGTATATGATGTATTTAATACCGCTTCCTAGTATAATATATTTTGATAGCTGGTAGAGAAAGTTCTCTTTTGTTGTTCTTTTTCAAAAATGCCTTGGCTATGCTTGAACTTTCTTTTTTCTTTTTAGAAATGCATTTTAGAATTATCACAATAAATGTCCTCTAAACCTTAGTTCCTTCATCTTAAAAAATGAGGTTTAGTTTAATATATACATTGTAATACCTAGCACATAATTTCAAGCAGTTATGAATTTTTTTTAAAGTTCTTCAGATATAAGGAAAGCTAACTTTCATTTACGTTGTGATGATTTAGGCATGAAATAGTTTACTTAAACTTTCTCTTTAGTTAAACTGTGTTTAGTCAGCCTTGAAATTTTTTGTTACTGTTTTATGGCTCTCTTCTTCCTAGCTTCTTGTTAAAATAGATTTTCTATAATCTTGTCTGTTATCTTTTCAAGTTTGTGTGGTTTTACCAAATAAATTGGTTGTCACAAAGCATGGGTTTTATAGTCCTAGTGAAGTGTGCATGTGATGGCCTTTCACATCAAAGAGTATATCTGGTGGTGACGTGTTTATTATGTTGTAGTATTCTGGTTTATAGATTACATCACATCTTCTCTCCTTACAAGCTTTTGGAAATTTTGCTCTTTGATGAGGCCTCTCATTGCCAAGGAGAATAGAGGCCAACTTCAATGGTGTGATATGGGAGACTCCTGTTGTTGATCTCTTTTCAGAGCAGACTGTCCTTAAGCTATCTCAGACTTCATTGAGTTCAGTCATTAAAGTAAGCGAGCTTTCTTTCATTGCTATTGCTACAATTTTTTAAAGCTATTCTAAAGGAGGGTTTTTGATTTTTGTTTTAATAAATACTAAGAGCAGCCTCTTCCTAAATTTAATATAAATTCCTCTTATGGTGGTTAAGTCCATTTTTTGTCAGGTTTTGCCTTCTGTTGATGAGGTATGCTATTTATTTTCTTTATAAAGTAATAGTTTAGGGTCATGGAAACACTGGAAATAACCTAAATGTTTAACAGTAAAATATAATTATAATAATCACATCTACCAATTGCTGAGTAGTAAAAATTTCAGGTAATATAAATGTTATCTCCTACTGAAGAAAAAAAAAAAGCAGTGAACAAAATAGATATAGTCCCTGCCTTCACTGAGCTTACAGTCTGATAGAGGAAAAAGACAAAATACTTTAAAATTTTCACTCATCTATATCTTGATTGTTATTTGTACTGTCTTTTGGATGAACTTTTCTTTGCTGGGAGGTATCATATGTAAGTGTGTGTTTTCACCCATGTCACTTTGTGAAAAAAATACATATATACCATTGGCAGAACCGACCAAAATTCAGAGGTGCAAGGCCGGAACAGGAGCCCTTTGCCAGTTTGTACTTTGGAGGAAAGCTCCTGGTTTGGGGAGGCGTCCGTAGTGTTCTTGAGAAGCTGTAGGAAGTGTTAAGTAGTGGAGGTAAGTTGGATAAACAGAAAACAGTTAGAGATCCTCTGAAAGAGAGAGGAGAAACTGGAGCAGGTATTAATATGTGGGCCCGCTTTGTCTGGGTACCTCCTGCCCATTCTTCGTGAGCCAGCCCAGACGTCACCTCTCTGGGAAGTCTTCTGGCTCCTGCAGCCCAGGTTAGGAGTCCCACCTGGGTGTGCCCAGCGTCTCGTGCTTTATTATAGTGTATTCTAGTCACCTCTTGACTGGGCTCTGTCCACCAGGCTGTAGCTTCCTTGAAGGCAGGGACTTGATCTTATCTGTTACTCCATTCCCTGTATGTTAGCACAGGGTCTGGCTACAGGGGACATGGCGGGGTTATGAGTCACCACTTGGGCAGAAGCACAGGGATGCGGGTATTTAGTAAAAGGAACATTTGCTGTGCTCAGGTGACAAGGGGTCTGGTTGTGTTCTTCTGGATAAGGGGTACAGTCTTTAGGGTTTGACCCTCAGAGCCCATTTGTAGCCAGTGAACACTAAATAGAGCAGCCTGTGCAAGGTGGATTGGGCCTGGTGTGGGGCGCCAGCTTTGTTAGCCTCCCAGTTTTTGAGAGTTGCCTGCTGCTTACCCTCATGTGGGAGAGGCTTGCACACGGACTCCAGGTGCTTTGTTCCCTTTGCATCATTCCTCTGCTTCCCGAGAATTCTCATGCACACTTTGTCGGGGAGAGAGCTCCCCCTCTGGACATCCCTGTGGGGTGAACCTCCGAGGCGTGGTGCACTGTTGTGCTCAGTGTGGGTCAGCAGATGTGTGGTCAGTGACCCATGGGCCCTTTTCACCTCCAGCTCTTTTGTCTCATTCTTCCTACTCCCCCTCCCACTGTAGTCCCGCTCTATCTCCCTGGCCTTCCCCTCTCTTTCCCCCTTTCTCCTGTCTATATAATCCCCTGCCCTAGAGCAGCCAGGGATATCAAGAGCCTTTCTAAGCTCCCTAGGACAACTGGATTTTGCTTTAGACTCTTGCCTCAGGCTGTTGAATCTGCTTAGTGCAGCTAACATTAGGGCCACCAACTGTTCTGTTTTGCCAGGGACTGTCCCGGAAATCCCTCAGTCCTGGCTGGTTGGTTGCCCTGGTTATGCTGACCTGGGAAACTGCAGCATCATCAGCAACTTGGATGACTCTGAGGTTTTGTTTTCTAGCACTTTCCTGCATACAGCATGTACATTTTTTCATCATGCCTAGAGGAAGCGTATGATCAGGTAATGTTTTGTCACAGGAAATGAATAACCTCTTCCTGTTTAATCGTTAGCCAAAGGCTTTTGAACAATACTTGAATCTGGAAGACAGCAGGCTGCTGAGTCATCTGAAGACGTGTTCGGCAGTGTCCAAACTTCCTTATGACCTCTGGTTCAAGAGGTGCTTCGCCGGGTGCTTGCCTGAATCCAGCTTACAGAGGCAAGTATTTCTTTCAAAGACACACTGAAGGCTCGGAGTTGGAAAAGAATCCTAGTTTTTCATGTGATCACCCCTCAGAATATAAATTTGCTTTGGAACAACACAGTAATTTAAAGCTATCTTCTCCAGCAGCTAACATAACAACACATGATTCTGCTTATTATATATACAGTTATAAATATAAGAATATTAATATTAATTATAACAGAAATTAATATTACAAATATTAGAATATACAATTTTAAAAATTGAGGGCTCTCAATGTGTTGCATGCTATACA